GGCGAGGTGGGGCTGTAGGTGGGCGACGTGGGGCTGTACTTGGGCGATGTGGGGGTGTAGACGGGCGACGTGGGGCTGTAGGTGGGCGAGGTGGGGCTGTACTTGGGCGTGGTGGGGCTGTAGGTGGGCGAGGTGGGGCTGTACTTGGGGGACGTGGGGCTGTACTTGGGCGAGGTGGGGCTGTACTTGGGCGAGGTCGGGGTGTACTCGGGGGAGCTGGGGCTGTAGCTGGGGCTGGTCGGGGTGTACTTGGGCGACGTGGGGCTGTAGCTGGGGCTGCTGGGGCTGTAGCTGGGGCTGCTGGGGGTGTAGGTGGGCGACTGCGGGGTGTAGCGGGGGCTGGACGGGGAGTAACTGGGCGAGGTGGGGCTGTAACTGGGGGAGGTGGGGCTGTAGCTGGGCGAGGTGGGGCTGTAGTTGGGCGAGGTCGGGGTGTAGTTGGGGCTGGTGGGGCTGTAACTGGGCGAGGTGGGGCTGTAGCTGGGGGAGGTCGGGGTGTAGTTGGGGCTGGTGGGGCTGTAGTTGGGGCTGGTGGGGCTGTAACTGGGCGAGGTGGGGCTGTAACTGGGAGAGGTCGGGCTGTAGCTGGGGGAGGTCGGGCTGTAACTGGGAGAAGTCGGGCTGTAACTGGGGGAAGTCGGGCTGTAGCTCGGGGAGGTCGGGCTGTAACTGGGCGAGGTTGGACTGTAACTGGGAGAGGTCGGGCTGTAACTGGGGGAAGTCGGGCTGTAACTGGGCGAGGTGGGGCTGTAGCTCGGCGAGGTCGGGCTGTAACTGGGAGACGTGGGGCTGTAACTGGGGGAAGTGGGGCTGTAACTGGGCGAGGTGGGGCTGTAACTGGGAGAAGTGGGGCTGTAGTTGGGCGAGGTGGGGCTGTAGCTGGGGGAGGTGGGGCTGTAGCTGGGGGAGGTGGGGCTGTAGCTGGGGCTCTGGGGGGTGTAGCCGCCCGGCGAGCGCGGTTCGTAGGCGGGGGACGTCGGGCTGTAGCTGGGGGACATGGCCCCGCCTGCGGAGAGGGGACACAGTGGGGGTTACATGGGGGGTACCAGGGGGG